CCAACGTCAGGCAAGCATTTGTTTAAGCCCGTCTCAGACAAAGGGTTACTTTTTCTTCCCCGTTTTTCTACACATAGGGGGGCGATGCAGCCAGAGATGTTCTCAGAAATAATTACCTCTATAAGATCCCATCTCCTTTATATCCCTGACTCACAGAAAAATGGATGGTGAACCATGCTCTATGCGTGGACTGGCCCATCAGGCAATTTACACTTCAACTACCGGCCAGCAGAAAAAGCCTGCATGCTAGTCTTAATGAAGAAATATTTTAACCAAATTTGTGCACAATGGCACTGCTACTGAACTTAAGTACAGTGCATTTAAGTACAACAAAGGGCTCACAGCTCCTGTTAAGAACTGGACATGTGTGTGTAATATACGAAACACACCTTGCACAGGCATTTCCTAAAAAAAATCTATGTTTAGCTTTTAAAAACACTGTATTTTATTTTAGATATATGAACCTTTTGTTAACCACACATCCATTTGTGTAATCAAATAGCTCCATTTAATGAAATAATCAGACTGGTGATTTGAAGATAATTAAATTTCTTCCCTTCTAGTACGTAGCAGCTTGACTCTTCAAAGCAGCTCTTTTCATAAAATAACACAGACTATTTCATATTGCTGGCTTATAATAGATGCAAATTACATCCGTGACCTTTGGCCCGGATTCAAAGTAAAACACAATAATGGCTAAAATTTCAAATGGCAAGGCATTCATTTGCACTTAATGTAATATATACTGGCATTTTTTGTAAACTCAATTTCCTAAAATGCTATTTAATTTCCACAGTACACCAAGCTACAGAGTGTACAGAACAAAACAGATCATAAAATGGTGTGGCTTGTAAGTGTTTTTTACAGTCTACAGTCTAAACAAATGGGGGGAAAAGTAACCCTTTACATGAAATGGCAGCAAATTAGTCCATCAACACACAGCATCGAGAATCCCTTGATCCAAAAATGGAAAACTGGCCATCAAGAGAGATGTTTAAGCAGCTTCTTTCCTCCCGGAGTTCCTCAACCTCCTGCTGCCGATGAGCATTTTGGGCTCTGAGCAGAGGAATTACAGCCATCATGAGCAAACATGGCAGGAAGGTGGGCAGGCATCAAAGGGAACGATCTCGAAAGTACAGGAAGATTAAAACGCTTTGTCTAGGTGAGGAACTTAATATTTTAACCCCCCTCTCCAGAGTTATTCTACTGGTAGTCAAGATGGTTCTATAATTTAAAAAAACAACAACAACACCTTTGTCAGTCTAATTAAAATATTTGTTTCTTATGAAATCGCTTATTGAGTGTGTTTATTTTTATGCGCTTGTAATGGTGATGGAAAATGTATTTAGATTAATTAAGCTCCGTTCTAATAACTTCATCTTGGAGCTGTATTCTCCTAAAACACACACAATTTTTATTAAGCAAATCCCTCCAAGGGACTCCCAGGAAGCACCAATATATTATTTATGACCACTATGGCTCCTCTGACTCTTCGCTCTGCTCTGAATATTCAGCTGTTCTCCGACCCTCTCTGTAGCTTCAGAGATTGCACACACACAGAAGTATTTTTTTTCCTCAAGGTACTTTACGGTGCTGTGCAACTTTCACGTGTAAAAAAAATACCTCTTATAATGCAGCAGATTCTTGGATGTTAAAAGGGGGGTATTACGACAGGGTGCAGATTTACAGGAATTAGCTTGTACTAGTAATCCTTTGGATCCTCTTTTCAGAAGAAATAAATCCAGTTTCTTATGGCACTTCAGTGTGCTGATTTATTGAGGTTTTACACAATATAACATAGGAAGCATTCAAGAAATTATTAAAGATGGTTAATACATAAAGAAACCTAGGTGGTAAGTGCTACTCAAAAGGGAAATCTTTGTTTTACTACCATAAACCTGGGTTTCATAAAATGAAGACCTACGAAGGGTAAATAGGATTTGGATGTTTTAAAATATATAAATGAAGACAAAGGCCACAAAACGGAAGTTCATGGCTCCAGGAGTGTTCCAGGGATGCCATGTAGAACCGGCAGGAGTGTCCTTCTGTTTCTAAACAGCAGCGGGGCTCCTCATTCATTCAGCACCAAGGGTGCGAAAAACGAACTGGAGGCTGTCGCTTTGTGCATATGGATGGCCTCACGTTCACAGTGCAATTTACACATTTTCCATATTTTATTCAGTGGAAGTACAGACCTCTCATTGCAAGTCCCTGTGAATTAAAAGCCCTCATTTACCAGAGCGAGTAGTTTCCTTTTTTTAAAACACAACTGAAACTTCTTTTCCCTATCAGTGCCGAGTGTATCTATGATTTAGAAAACACAAAACTGAACCGCTTCATAAGCAATTTCTTCTGAAGGTTTCCCATGGATGGAAAAAGACGACACTCAATATAGCTTTAGAGCAGTTCCTATTGGTGTTATTACTAATTGCAAACATTTGATTTGGAAATTACTGGTTTTCATACATGCATGCGTCTAGGTCTCTGTTATGTGCTGTCTTTCATCACACCTGTGCTGTGTTAAAGCATCAAAGTGACTAATAAACAAGTCAAGTGCATATTTAAATCATTGGTGATATGTAAATTGCCTTGAAAATCACCTATCAATTAGGGATAATTGATGCTATTTAAAGCTGAACCTTGAAGTAGGAGATTGAAGGGGGAAATTCTGTCCTTGAATTTGATTACACAGACTTTTGACAAACCACTGTCCCAGCAGTGCCACAGCACAG